GTCTTTTTATGGGAGCATTGAATCCATTTACATTTAAGGTGATTATTGATATGTACTTATTTATTGCCATTTTTGTTTAATGTGGTTCTATTTTTCTTCCTATTTCTTCTACTAATTACAGCAGTACTTTTAACATTTCTTGCAGTGCTGGTTTGGTGCTAATATATTCCCTTAGCCTTTTTTGGTCTGGGAAGTTCTTTATTTGACCTTCTATTTTGAATGATAGCCTTGATGGGTGGAGTAGTCTTGGATTCAGATCCTTGTTTTTCATGACCTTGATTACTTTGTGCCACTCCCTTCTGGCCTGTGGTGTTTCTGTTGAGAAGTCAGCTGAGAGCCTTATGGAGGTTCCTTTGTAGGTAATCTGTTGCTTATCTCTTGCTGCTTTTAGGATTCTCTCTTTGTTTTTAATTTTTGGCATTTTAATTACTATGTGTCTTGGTGTAGGCCTGTTTTGGTTCTTCTTAGTTGGGGCTCTCTGTGCTTCCTGAATTTGGATTCCTTCTTCTCTCACCAAATTAGAAATTTTTTCTGTCACTATTTCTTCAAATATATTCTCTAACCCTTGCTCATTTTCTTCTTCTTTGGGGACTCCTATGATGTGAATATTATTAAGTTTCCAGTTGTCCCACAGTTCTCTTAAGCTGTCTTCCTGTTTTTTAATTGTTTTTTCCTTTTCTGAATGGTTGATTTTTTTCTACCCTGTCTTCTAATTCACTGATCCGGTCCTCAGCTTCCTCTACTCTGCTGTTTAGACCTTCCAATGTGTTGTTTATTTCTGATATGTCATTATTCATTTCTTCTTGGTGGTTTTTAATTTCCAATTGGTTGATTTTCAACATTTCTATGTCTTTACTCGTGGTGTTGATGTCCTTACTCATGCTGTTGAGCTTCCTCAAGATCATGGCTCTCAATTCTAGCTCTGTTAACTTGCTTAACTGCTCCTCATTTATCTTATCTTCAGTAGAGGTTTCTTGTTCTTTCATTTGGCATTTGTTTCTTTGTTTCACCATTTTGGCTATCACAGTGGGCTTTGGAGCCTGCTAAATTTTCCCTGTGAGTGTTGGAATTCTGCTATTTGTGGCTCCCTCTCCTGGGTTTGGATGAGCATGGGAGGACCCACGTTAAATACCACTGTCAAGTCTTACCTTCCTGAGCAGAGTTGCAAGCCCAGGAATGGTTCAGTTATCCTCTAACTTTTTGCCTGGAGGCTATTAGTCAGTTACTTGTAAAGCCTTGGCTTCTCAGTTGAATGAAAAACTCCCTCAGGTGCCCGAGGGTGGGGCAGATGCTGGTTGTTAATGAGCCTCAATTAGCACTTCAATGGCCCACCAGTTGGGGTTGAATCTCTGAGGGAGGGGCTGCTGCCTCTCCCCAGAGCCCTGGGAAGGAGCAAGATGGCCACCGTCCTGCGTGGCTGAAACTCAGGAAAAGCTCTGAGTGCCCTCCAAATCCTGAGTGTCCCCACACAGTTCCAGTCCAGTCGCCCTCTCTTTGCCAGAGCCCAAGGTGAGTGGCTGTGGTTATTTTAGCATCTTTCCAGGCTCTGTGCTGTGGAGCCGCTTGGGAGTTTAACCCAAGGGCACTGATCACAGCTAAGGCTGCTGCTGTCCGTGGGCTCCCAGCCCCCCTCTCATGGCTCTGCAGTCCTACCAGGATTGACTCAGTGTCCTTGGTTATATGGTCCTTTCAAGATGCTTCTCTGTTGTTTTTTCCCGACGATTTGTCTTTATTTTAGTTGTAATTCCAGTTTGGTCCTGGGAGATGGTCTGTGTAGCTTCCATTCACTCTGCTGCCTTTTCAGAATCCCTAATTTAGACTTTTAATCCAATAGCAATGGCAAACGGTGTGAGGCTGAGCTCAGACCCCGAATTGTTGCTCTGCAGAGAGAATTTCATTTCTTCTCAGCAATCACAGCCACACTACATAGGTTGGGGAACACATGATCTATTTCTCTGGACTCCTAATTGTTTTATATCAATAGCTGAAAACTAAAAATCAAAGTGATTGCTGTATAGCTTTAACTATATATGGGTATTTTGCATCAGTAGATTCTAATATATGCTTGTTAAAGAACTAAGTTTAGGGTGGAATCCTTCCTAGGTGTATGATTAAATTTTTTTTTATTTATACTGCAATTTGTCCAGTTACAGAGATATCTTGATCAAAGGCCACTTCGAATTTATTTTTGAATTAGACGGATACACACACACACTAGAATAAATAGCATCACACATGGTGACTATGACAATCAGAAGTGTCTTAAAGGAGACCGCAGCAAAATGCTGAGGAAAATGCTGATGTCAGCACTCCATAAACATGAGCTGTTCCTATTATTGCCGAGGCTGCCATGGTAACAACTATTGAAGAAAGTCACAGGTGAGAGCCCTGGCTGGTTTGGCTCAGTGGTTGGAGCATCGGCCTGCGGTCTAGAGAAAGTCACAGGCGAGGGAAGGCCACCAATCACCATTCCACTCCTCTTCAAGTCCCTCTAACGTTGGTTAAGCACCTTGTACATGCACCTTGTACATGCCAGGTGCTTCATGGACCTTAGTTCACTGTATACGCAGAAAAATCTATCGGGTGATTTGACAATGGCGGAAGGACCTGGAACTGGACAGGCTTGAGTTTCCATTCCAGCGTTGCACTGCTTCCCTGACGTACTTGGATACGTTGTTATGTTACTAGCCCCAAGCCTACAAGTATGTGGCTTTTTCTATCATCACTCTGTCAAAGGCCAAGGCTAGTTACGTGATGGGTTCAATGTCCAGGTGTGCAATATCGTGGGGAGACTCACCAGGACCCTGTTTGGAAGGCCTTCTGGGCCCCACTTGGGCTCAAAGCAAGTCTGCGCTTGGAACGCAAGGGTGCAAAATGCAACGCAGTTCTCGCCGGGGTAGCACGAAGAAGGAGGTGCGCCCCAAGACAGCAGCTTTGACTTTCACTGCGCTCGCACTGATTCCCACCCAAGTGCTCCCCGAGCAGAGCAAGACTTGAGTCCTACATGAGCTGAGGAGTCAGGCAAGTGATGAAGGGCAAGTTTACCAAGTTCGAGGCACCAGGTGCCAGAGGCCAAGGACCAACCCAGTGACCCGGAGCAGGAACAGGGTAGAAGGGGAGAGCTTGGTGACCGACAGGAAAGGTTGAATTGTGGGGCGTAAGCTTGGCTAGGGCCATTTGCATGGTCACTTTGAGGCTGTACCCTAGCATCCGGGCATCGTGGCCATGAGGCCCCACCTCCTCCGTCTGGTCTCAGGGGGAAAGTGGGGTCCAGAATGGAAGTTCCCAGAGGGCAAACCAGGTAGATGGTCGCCAGGAGGCAGCAGGGGTCAGGGTGGTATCGTCCCATCCTAGATCTAAATTGTGGACCCATTCTATGACCTTGGGGGTTAGTCAACCCCCATGGCTCAGACACTCTCTCTGTAAATCAGAGGTGGCTAAGCCTCCCTTCTTCGGTTGTATCCAGAGGTTAACCGAGCACAGTGCATATTAAGGTTGTACTTTGGCACCTGCCGTGACACGTCGGGTCTCTTCCGTCTGGCTGACCTGCTGAGGGCGCAGCAGAGCGCCGGGGCCAGGCGGGCTTGCCCGAGGTTTCACAGTTGACCTGGCGAAGGAGGAAAGGTGAGCGGGCTGTTGTCAGTAACTGCACACAGAGGTGGGTTCTGGCTGGAGCGCAGGCGTGCGACTCCTCTGGGGACTCAACAGATGAGCATTTGTGCAAGGGTGCCATTTATACACCGTGTGGCCAACACCACGACACCCACAGAGCGCAGGTGCTTTGAGGAGGTCTTGGACCTGTTGGAAGAACTGGGACCGTGAGAACAGCCCAACTTCTGTCCAGTTGCCTTGCTAGATTGGAGGGCAGGGCATGTAGGGACACTGGAGGAACAGCAGTCGCCGCCCCGTCTGAGGAGAATCTGTGCCAGACCCCGCAAGTCTTGCCCATAGGACTGGAGAGAAATATTTTGATTTATTTCTTTCCAGGAAGGGAAAGAGAGAGAGTTTTGTTTTAATTATAAAAAATCACATCTATTTATCTATTAACGTATTTATTATCTATCCATCTCAGGGGCTCTTAAAGTCCAGGATTCTTTACCCATAAAACTGAAAATTAATAAAATAGTGATTGACTAATTGATTGATTGTGTGTGTGTGTGTGTCCTGGGGTGACATTCCATAGCTTTAATTAGATCTTTAAAGAAGTCTTTCAATGATTTTTCAAGCAGATTCTGTCTATCTATCCATCCATTCTTCCTTCCATCCATCCATCCATCCATCCATCCATCCATCCATCCATCCATCCAGTCTATTCCATCTAATATCTATAGATATGCTAGTTAAAATGAAACAATATACATATACAAATTAACAATAAAATTTATAGATATTAGCTATCTGAGTCCTGTTATAAATTTCCTCTAGTCATTAAAATTCTTTTCAAGTATTATTAACGGCTTCATAATGCAAATATAATATATTCAACTATTTTTTATATGATTAAATATTTAGCATGATTTCAGTGTGCTACCATTTAAGATATATTATTATAAACTCTAAATGAGCGTGTTTAAATATGAATCCAAATTTTAGCTTAGTTTTTAGTTGAAATTCCCAACCACAGAATCACTGGACAAAATGAAATGGACATTTTCCTGTTGCTTAGATAATATTATGAAATTGCTTTCCAGAAGGCCCGTTCCGCCGGCACATTTCGCTGCGTGAGGAGGCGCCTTTCTCATCACACTCTCACCAGCACCGAGTGTCGGTGTCTCCACCCCATCCAGTCTTCGCAATGGCCGGTGAGTTACGTTTCTCTCCCTTTTATAGCTGAGAAATTGGCGTACAATTTTACACCCAGGAATGGAAATACCATCTTTCCTGCCCAGAAATTACACATTTTGCATTTTCCCCTTTGTTTTTAGTCCACCGTGCACGTGGGAAAAGGCCAGTTACTTGTAAATGTGGAGGACGGAGCAGAGAGGAGGGGGGAGACTTACGAAATCCAGGAGAGTCTCACTGGCCGCCTGCTGCTGACCTGCCGGCAGAAACGGACCACGTTAACGCGCAACAACCAGAAGTCCTGTGCTCATTCCCATTCATTTCTCTTCACTCTAATTGCTCAAAATGAAGCGCATGTTTCTGTTTTCACACTTTCTGCTGCTCTTGCAAAACAGGGGCGATGGACAAAGAAGGAAAAAAATCAAATCCAAACTAACAAGACTCACTCCTTCCACAGCGGGTAACAGGCTCACGGGAAGAGGAAGACCCCTCTCCTACGTCAAGGGCACCCCAAGTCATACTCAGCAGCATCTCAGCCAGTGAACAGGCTGTTTCCTCGTTCTCTCCCCACTGAAGGCACATGTTGCGTTCGCAACTATCTGTCCGAACGTCTGTCTCCTTGAACAGACTATACCCATTGTCTGGAGGGCGGGGTCGTATCTGTTCATTCATCTATCCCCAGCTCCAGGCACATGGCTCAGGTGGGTTCTTGACAGGCATTTGCTGAATGAATACTCTCAGCACTGTACTCCCTCCTGTGGATTGTTTTATGACAGCTGCCTGAAGGTCATCCAGTGCACTCCGTGTTCTCGGTTCACACTTGACCCTCAGGCCATGCAACTCCACCAAAGGTCACAGGGTCTGCAGGGGTTTTTTGTTTTAAAGAAAATGTTCTTATCCCATTTCCTCTCTCTCTCTCTTTTTTTCCTTTATTGATCTTATTAAAATTTTTTAAAAATTGATTTTAGAGAGGAAGGGAGAGGAAGAGAGAGAGAGAAACATCAATGAGAGAGAACATTAGTTGGATGCCTCCTGCACGCCCCCCACTGGGGATCAGGCTCACAACCTGGGCATGTGCCATGACTGGGAATCGAACTGGTGACCTCTTGGTTCATGCGTCAACACTCAACCACTGAGCCACAACGGCCGGGCTCACATTCTCTTTATTAGCACATACATGAGAAGTTTGCAGCAGGTTTCGGGGCCAGAAGCCGCCATGCCTCTTAGCAACTGGTTTGCTTTGAGTTAAGAGAAAACACCAGTCCCCTCCTCCTTGGCTGCTAAGAATCTCAGGGCAAATGTCTGGCCTTCGTCTAGGGGATGTAGAGGACCGTGCTATGCGTATGCATTTCTACATCTTGGTCTGGCTTCACTTTTTAAAACGTTGTTCTTTTTTTTTGTTTGTTTGTTTGTTCAGGTAGAGTGGGAGGGAGAGAGAGGAAGAGAGAGAGAGAAACATCGATGTGAAAGGGACACATCGAGTGGCTGCCACCCACACGACCAACCAGGGCCGGGGACAAACTGCAACCGAGGCACGTGCCCTCAGCGGGAACCGAACCCGGGTCTCTCTGTACCGCAGGCCGACGCTCTAACTGCTGCGCCAAACCAGCCAGGGCTAAAACGTTGTTCTTTTACCCCGGATTCTCTTGCTATACCAAAAGATGAAATTCATAGCTGTATGAGCGTGTGACCAGTCTTCGGAAGGGTGCAATGTGTAAGTTAATGAAAGTTTGGCTCAGTGGAAACAGCTCTCTGGAATTTGCCTAGGACCTGTGCATGGGGTGTTCATTAGCTAAAGCCAATCTCCTGGAGATGATAAGATGGGAGGTGCAGGATCCTGCTGCTACCAGTGCCCCCTGGTGGTGGGAGTAGCAGCTGTCACCACCCGGGCACTCGGACACTGTCCGTCCCAGCAGGATCAGGATCACCCCCCACCCCGAGGTCTGTGGAAGAGAAACACAGGTTGCTCTGGCCCTTCAGAGTAGCAGTTGTGCTGTCTCATGAATTGAGGTAGAGTAATAAGGTCACTCATTTTTTTTCCCCTAATCCTCACCCGAGGATATTTTCCCATTTATCTGCAGATAGAGTGGGAGGAAGGGAGAGAGAGACATGGATGTGAGAGAGACACACTGATTGGTTGCATGACCCCGACCAGAGCTGCAACCGAGGTACATGCCCTTGACTAGAATTAAACCCAAGACTTTTTGGTCCTTAGGGCCGATGCTCTAACTGCTGAGCCAACCGGCCAGGGCAAAGGTCACTCATTAAATACCAGCTGTCCCAGAAGGCGCAAATGATCCCAGTGTGTGAGGGATCTACTCTGGCCTCCGTGACCTTGGAGAGCAGCTCCCCTGTCAAATTCAGGGTTTAATATAATGGCATTTTAGGGGATCGTCCTCACAGGACGTGGTGACAATGACATTCCTGCTGAAAGCTGGGGTCTCTTCTTTCAGCGAAGCCAGCGTTGCAGACTGAGACTCTCCTGGGGTGCTCATTTAGAGTTTATAATAATGTATCTTAAATGGTAGCACACTGAAATCAATGCCCTTTGAGGGTCTCCTCGTGTTACTGGTGAAATGAGTGGATCCAATTTCTCCACCAATGGTGGGAGTGGGGTTCTTGGGGCGCCGCTGGAGTAAGCATTTCTGGAGGCCCCCACAGGAGAATGAGATGTGGTGAAAGTTCTATTTGCATGGAGTTATATCCCTCGGCTTGTAAAGTCCCCATTTCCTTAAGCCAGTCCTGGAAAATATGCAGCGGTTGGTTCAGTAGAGCTAGAAACAGGGCCAATGTCCAGAGGGTCCCTTCCATGGTGGAGTTGAATCCGGCAGAGCATCAGGCTAGATTCAGTCTCACAGTCCATTGTGTCGGTCCCACATGGCTGTGAGCCACGTGGGCAAAGGCAGGGGAGCATGCCCCCTGCAACAGGGGGGCCAGGGGTGCGGGCAAGCAAGCTAGAGAGCCAAGAGCCACGAGCCACGAGCCAACAGAGAAATTCCTTTGTTTAGGAGCTTATGTATTTCAGATTATGTGCCCTTGCAGTAGCCATGCCTATTCTGGCCAATTACCTGTTCCCAGGTGTGACTGACAGGCAAGCATCTTCCCACATCACCCAGACCTTACTGGGCATGTGTCTAAACTGCCTTGGTGCAGTCTCTTCCCCCATCGATCTGCGGGGAACAGACCTGGAGGGTGACCTCAGCGTCCTGGCAAAGCTGTACCAATGGCATGCCTGTGCCATCTAGTCTCCCCCTTGCTCTTTTCCTGTTAAATAATAGCCAGATGATTATAATGGCATCGCTGGGACTTCACCCTGATCCCCGAAGGGTACGGTAACGTGACTGGATTGTCAGAGCGTGCATTTTCTGTCTCACTCACCTCAGTAAGGACAAACAGGGAGCGTCTGATTACTGTGTTGCGAGCGGACGCTGTCCCCCTCTGGGACAGGAATTGTCTTTGATCGCTGTCTTGCAGTAGCTATCTGTGCGAATAACAATGCCGAGTCTGGGACACGTAACTGTCAAGGGACCGTTAAACCTGCGAATCAGTTCATGTCACACACGGCCCATGACATCCAGTCCTGATTCTCGGCGGTGGCCCCAGAGCCCAGCACAGCCTGGCATCTGCCCCTCGCTAGTCTCATCTTCTGCCAGTCTCTTCTCACTGAGCTGCAGCCATGCCCACTGCTCCCGGTCCCGAGGGGACCCGCGCTCCTTCTACCTCAGACTTGGCACGTGTCCTTCAGACCAGAACCTGCTTCCTCAGCTCTGCCTTTGCCTGGATCCTTCTCAGCCATCAGATCGTATTGACCGTCCTCTCCCCCGGGGGACTGTCTCTGACCACCGATCTCCAGCTCAGTCCGCCCTGCCTCAAGCTCCCGGCATGGCCGAGAGGAGCTGTATGCGCACCCGTGGGCATGCATGTCTGGCGTCCTTGCCCTGGGTGGCCATGGTGTGGCGCTGTGGCCGCGGGGAAGAGGCAGGTGTGAGGGACTCTACTCTCGGCTGGTCTGCTGGACACACCATGCTCTCATTCTTGCTTCGGGGCCTGGCCAGAGACGGAAGACCCCAGCGCCCGCAGGAATAATGGAATCCGCTGGGCAGGAGGAGAGTGTTTGGGAAAGGACCTCCTTGAATCCGCACTGAGCTGTGATGTGGACAAGAACTAAGCTTTCGTTCTATGAAAACGACCAACATTTGTAGTTTATACATGGTAGATGTTAGCCCTCCCTGATTAACATAGTCTTCAGTGTCTCTGGAGCATGTAGGCGCAAAGTCAGCCAGTAAATATTCACAACAGACGGGCGCCGGCTTCCCTGGCGGTGGTGAGATTTCAGGCTCTTGCTCCGCCCTGTGCATGGTCACGTGCACAGTAAATGAACAGTCGGCTGAGTTACAGTGAGGGGTGCAGTGGAAACACCCCAGAACGAGGTCAGCAGCGAAACTTCAGGAGCATCCTGACCTCCTCCCTTGCTGGGTGACTTGGAGCCTGGTACTCCTCTTGCCAGAAGTACCCACCCAACGGGCGCCCCAAACGTTGCCAAGTCTTCGAGCCTTCCTGGAGCTGGAGGACAGGTTGGCATCTCAGACGGAGCCGTTTTCCAACAAGACGAATGGCGTTGCCGCTCGCATCACCGTTCTGGAAGACGTATGCTCATGTTGTGTCTGAGGAGGGTCATTCATCACCCGCCGACATCAGGCAGCTCTCTGGGTGCCGCTCAAGGAAGCGTCTCTTCACAGACCGCGCTCCCTGAATGCCATTCTTGAGAGCGAAGTGATGGACGAGGGGCTTCCCCGACAGGCAGGCGGCAATTAGCCCAGCTTTGGCCGTCAACGAGACACCTCTGCTCGTGCCCACGGAGGCGTGGCAAAGGCGTGTGGCCAATGCCCGTCTAATTAAGAGGTCCCCTGACCATGTTCTTCTTGGGTGCCCCAAAGAAGGAAATACGAAAAAGCGGACCCCCGTATAAAGTGCTGGCTTTCTACTCAAGTCCCCACGGCGATGTGATTTACACGGTGGTTTGAGAACCACTGACTTAGGAGCCCCAGCTCCCTCCCGTTAGAAGACGGGCCATGAAGATAGGGGGGCTCCCGGGTTGTTTCCCCCTGTAAACACGCCCGGGAACTTAAGCCCCTGGAGGGGCAAGGCTGGGCCTTGTCTACGTGTCCCGCCCTCACAGGGGAGCTGGCTGAGCCCCCAGTGCTGTTGCCATGGCATGGGATTTCAGGAAAACATTCCCCAAGCAACACCAACTTC